AAGAAGAACAAGAAGAAGAAGAAGAAGTAAATAATTTTTTAATGAAACACTTGGGAATTGCTTTTCTCCAGATCTACAGTATCTACTCCAATCACATGCAGGACACCTACAGTACATCTAATTCTCACACAATTCTTTCTATTCCAGGCTGAAAAGATTCAGTTCCCATCAACCATCTGAAGTTCTTTTAGATAGAAGTTAACAAGTTTGCTTGATTTTCCCCTTCATTTCTGACAACTGTGCTTAATTAGAACAGTAAGCAGGTCTTTAAGGGTTGTGAATAAGTTACAGATGATGATTTTCAAGGTACAGGAATTACAGAATTACCTTCCCGTGACATAATTGTGCAGAGCTCATTGAACATAGTCAATTTAAAATGTATCACTCTATTCAATTTTATTTTAAAAAGTATGAACTTTGAGTAGTGGATGCAAGGTTATATGATAAAACATACTGTATTTAATTCTATCATATTTTTTTTTCTGCATTATGTCCTTACTCTGAATGTTATATATAGTACAGTATAAAAATTGGTCAAGTTAAATATTTTCCTGTCTAATTCTAATTTAATGTTTTTGTCTTTATATCCTGTTTAATATTATGCATGAAATAAGGAAATGTGTGGAAAATATGGAAACATGACTGCATGGATTATATTGCAATGTGACAACAGATTCTACAGAATGCCTGTCAATTGTGCCTGTCAAGTGTTAAATGTAGCAGAATTAAGGGTCTTGTGCTCCTTTAAGGATGGTTATAAAACTATATTTGAGAATATCAAATGTTATCACATGTTATCACATTTTGTCCCTTTTTTCTTTATCTCTGTTTTCAATTTGAGAAACCAATACCTGATTTCTAAACATAAAATCAGTTGGTCTTTTGGAAAGTTCTTGAGGATGTTTTCTGGCACCATGCATTCTTACTGTAAATACTCCAGAGGATTAATATGTCAGGATCAGTACTGGAATGGGAGACCTCTGTACACCTCAATGGGAGATTGTTGCTGTACACCTCAAACAGAATTTCCTATTTAAATCAGACATGTCGCTCTAGGTGGTACTAGCTTTTGGATGAGATGTTAAAGTCAAATGTTAAACTGATACTAAACTGACTATTCGGTCATTGAAAGTCACTAACATAGTTTGTACATGACAGTGTATTCACCCTGGTGCCCTGACTAAATTCCACTGTGGATGTACATAACCCGCTCTACCCAAAGTTCCTCTTCTGTAATTCAATTGAGGAAGGAATTTTTCTTTTCTCTGCCTGATCTTCTGTGCAGTAGGGTTACCGGCACATGATTATACCCACATGTCAGGCAAATGGATGCTGCCCCTCACGGGTACATGAAGTTGGACCTTCTTATAAATAAAGCACTCTGGATCCCTTTACAACAGTAGGGCCTGTAACATGGACTGGAGCCCACAACTCACCAGTTTTGAGTCTAGAGATATTCCCACTATGCTACACTGCCCCATCTCCTGTCAGTAAGCATATCTAATGTATATTAGAACCCTGGTAGGGCGTCTCTTCTTCACTTCTCACCACTGAAGCTATTAGGAACAAACAGCAGTGAGTACTGCATGGTGGTGAATATTTCATAGACTGTGTTTCTGTGTCCCTCCCTGTCCAGGCCCTGGCAGTGGCTGGGCTCAGCCCGCTCTTACGGAGGAGTCATTCCCCCACACTCTTCACACGGCTGTGCTCCACACCCCCTGCTACGCCCTGTGACCGGGGGAACCCCTACCAGCGTGTGCCCACCTTGCAGCTGGAGGGCACGGGCTCCTACGAGAAGCTCAACAGCAGCCTGCCGTCTGTCAACTGTGGCTCCTGGTACGCGGACAGCACTAACGGCAACACCCAGCGGGCGCGGCCAGTCTCCCTCACCGTACCGACTCATTGCCAAGACTCAGGGCGGCAGTTCCATGGCAGTGCAGGAAGTCTGGTGGAGGCGGTAAGCTAGTCATTCCTTTGCACTGCCATTTGCAAAAAAAAAAAGATCTTTCTGTTGCAGTTATTAAAGGGGAGCTGCAACACTATTTTTCTATTTTGGGGTTAAAAAGAATCAGCATTGATGACTGCTTTTCAGACCACAATAAAAGTAAAATGTACACAGTAACTTCTAAAACCTCCAATTTACAGCACAAAACAGACAATTTGTGGGAACTCTCACTCTTGCCTCACTCTCACTCTTGCCTGGGGCATGACCAGGGGGTTGCAACAACATGATGACATACAGTGCTTTCTAAAAGTTCACAATTTTGTGCTTAATCCAGAATTTGTAAAATGTTTCTATAATGTCAATTAATTTATTTTGTTACCAGGATTTATTGGACTGCACCTCCCCTTTAAGATTCATGGACAATTGAATGGCTCAAGAAATTGTGTTTGCATGAACAACCTTTTACACTTTAACCTGTGCTTTCTGAGTTTGCTTGAAATTGTTATGTATTACTAATGTGATTATATGCAGTACATAAATATATACTGTATCTGCTTGACTTATGGCTTCATCACTCTGCTTTGCTCCCCACTAATAGCTGATGTGTGGTGAGCGTTCTGGTGCACTATGGCTACCGTCGCATCATCCAGGTGGATGCTGCACATTGGTGGTGATGGAGAGGAGTTCTCATTATTATGTGTACTGTACAACAGTGATTATTTAAGTTGTAATTTCTGAATTACTATATTGTCCATATTTAGCATATATTTTTAAAGGAACCGACCTCACTCTATAGTCCTTTTTTTAAATAAATAATTTTGGTTAAAGTAAATATTAGAATTTATTAAAATGTCCTTTGAAACATGGCAGTTCTAGATTAGTTTGAGTTAGAGATGAAAAAGCCACATCTGATTGGGTTTTTCTTCACTGTGATCTCCACTGTTCCCTTAGGTCCTGATTTCCGAAGGCCTGGGCCATTATGCCCAGGACCCCACCTTCATCGAGGTGACCAAGCAGGAGATCGCCGATGCCTGTGACATGACAATAGAGGAGATGGAGAATGCAGCTGACAACATCCTGAATGGCAACAGCCAACCGAGCCCCAACGGCAACCTCCTTCCCTTTATTAACTGCAGGGACCATGAAACTCAGGCGTCCAGCAGGCCGGAAGGACCTGTTATAGCGGTGGAAGAAAAGGAGGAAGAGGCCGAGACAGAGGGTGAGAGGTCTCCAGGGCAACGGAATTGTGGGCTAGTGGAGGAGGATCTCCCAGAAGACATGGTTTGCGTCAGCAGCTTGTAGAAGTACAGGGCTCTCCAATGTTGGCTGTTCCGTTTTAATATTTGTGTTCTAAATGTTCTGGGTTTGTTTCAGAAGTGCCTCACAGTTATTGTGCTCTTGAAGGTGGAAGGGGGGAGGATTTGAGAAAAAAAATGGAAAGCGGAACGTTTGATTTCATGGCCTGGTTGTTTCTTGGCCATGGGGCAGGAGCCCCATTTCGCCCTCAGAGAGGTGGCAAGTGATATTAAGGTGTTGGGGTGCCTCTTTTGGAAGCTGCACACTCTGTTCAAGGACATCCTTTTTGTTCTGAGCTCCGACAGAATCATCACGGATGGATGAACGGATGAAGGCAAGATAGCACGGACCAGTTCTGACCCTCCCCCCGGGCACCATTTAAAAAACCAGACAAAACAAGGGGGTCCTTGGGAGACGAAGCGAGGCGCCGGAATCTATGCTCAGGTGTCCTCACGCTTTCTCTTTCCTTCTCTGTTGTCGTGTGGCATGACAATGCCACCCTTTTTAGGGAAGGAGTCAACCAAGGCGATAAACCTAAGGGACAGCGACGTTTGCTGCCATATACCTCGAGTTTCATCATATCTTTTATTTTTTCGCGTTTCTTTACTTTTTTTGTCGTCGTTTGTTTTAGGTTTGTAAAATTAGCCTTGCCTTGCGACTACTGCCTTGGCTAAAATGGAGCAAGGTCAAGGCATGGGGTTGAGGGGGTGGGAAAAGAACAAGAGAGCCAGGGTCGAGCTAGGCCTTGTAGTTGATCTGCATCCCGTGTTGTAGATCTCTGCAACTGGAGAATGTAATGGTTTTACTGGCCAGTGACAGTGCAGGCAACCAGACACACATCAACACCAACTAGAGTTTATATATTTATACAGTGTTGTGCAAAAGCTAGAGACCAGCCTATATTTTTAAATGTTTTTAACAAATTGGATTATAAACATATATTATAAAAGTAAGAACCTTGTTTTATTAGAAGTTTAAGAAGTTAAATACCCTGCAATGGCAGGATTTAGGATTGTATTTAATAATAACCATTCTCTTGTGTTTTTCCTCTTTTGTCCCCCCAACTACACTTTTTTTTGGTGGGGGAGGGGTATTTTTGTTACTGTAAAAATGTGCCTAAAACTCTGAAATTTAACAATATTGACATGACACTTGGACCTTTCAGAGAATTAATAGGCATGTTTCCAAAAAGGCTGGCTTTGATTTCCGAAACCCTAACCACTGGAATGATGAAGAAGCAATGTGCAAGACAGCCTGACGTTCTGGTTTGGTTTGGGTTTTATCTCACAACACTAATTATTTAGCTCTTCATCCAGAAATAAAAACAGGTCAAGTCTTCTTTTCTCTTAAATAGCTATGAGTGCTTTTGTAGGTTTACCTTCAAAAGAAAGGTGGAGAAAAGCTTACAGGCATTTGAACATATGCTGCATAGGCTCATGCTTGATACCAGCTAATGGTCATGCAATTCTCTCTGTAGTTCCTCAAATAGAATTTACAGGGTTAACAAAAAACTGCTGTGGATTTTACACTGTTACCATACTGTTTGGTGTCTTCTTACTTTTGTACAGCACTGTATGTCTGCATGCATCATACGCACACACTAAGTGCCAGAGAGCAGTGGTGTCCTGAATAAGTTGCTAAGAAGGAATGGATTATGCAAATTAAATGCGAAAAATAAGAGTTTGCTGCTACTTAGAAAATTTTGAGTTGATGTGGGCAATATTACATTTATTTTCATCACTATGGCTGTGGGGTTATGGGGATAAAGATGGAGATGCAATGACAGTATCAACATTGTGAATACAGAGTTATTTGTTTGGGACTCTATTAGAACATGTACAGTACTCACATTGAATGGACTCTTGTGAAACCTGCTGTCTGAGTTTTCTCAAAGCTAGTGGCTAGGCCACAAGATCTTTCATTTCAAATTGTTATAACCATAGATATTAAGCAACACTACCTGCCATGTTCACACAAGTAGGATTGAATATTAACAGAGCATCCTGATAACCCCTGCAATGCACTACTTATACTTTTTATTGATTAATAAACAGGTTGATGCTGTCAATTATCTGAAATGTTAGATTGCATTTCTTACTAAGCAAGCATACTTTTTTTTAGTTTCGATTTTGAAGAACTGTAAACAATGCAGTCTGTGTCAGATATTCACATATGTAATTCAGTATAGCTAATACGTTTTTGCATGTCACTCATGGGTTTTAAATCTTTCCTGGCACTAGTGTGTGTTTATGGTTGTCTTTGTAATTAGGGCGTGAACCTAGCAGGGAATAATGTTTTCTTTTCAAACACCATTGTTTCAATTAAAACTGCTAGCTGGATCCCTTTACATTAGGTCTAATACCTAAGGTTTGCTACACTCATTGATACAGGTTACATGCTTACATAGACAGCTTTCCACCCCACTCTTGAAAGAATGCAAAATGTGCACACCTGCACTATGTAGCTGGTTTTATGTTTTGGTTTGTCAAAGCAGTTGTGCTTTTCTCTTGACAGCCTGTGGCAGGCGCAATGAAGGGAAAATGGCGTCTGCCTATTAAGTCACTGCATGTTTCTGAGAGTGTATGCATTTCCTGTTGTGGATAGGGTGGGTCCATGTGAATGATCACGGGTCCAGGAGTGCCTGGTTGTGTGTGCGTTCCACAAGATATGCAAAAACAATGCAATAACATCATGACTGTAAATGAGTCTCAAAGAATTAGCTGTATAAAAGGATGAAAAAATATATAAATAATATATATTCAGAGTAATTGTTTATTGAGTTGCAAATCTTTAAATCGAAGAAACCTGTTATACTTGAAATCAGGTGCAGTTCAGTATTTAAAAAGACATCTTGTGCCAAGCAATTATTTTCCTTCTTCTTCTCTTCTAATTACTGAATATTATTATAGTCACATTAATTGAACTCACTTGATGTATATTTACTGCATGGGAATCATTTTAGTATTTTAGTGTGCCAAGTTATACCTTTTGAACTTTTTAGTGCTTTTAACTAAGGAAGTGGGACACAAGCCAATGTTTTTTTTTGTGTTTTTCTCTCTCTTTATACTTTTTGTGAATGAGAGAAAAAAGAGAAAATTGTACATAATTTTAGCTACTTTGGAAGACACTATGGACATGTTTTATGGAAACTGATTTTGCATATCTTGTGTTCATCCACTTTAAGTTGGTACATTTCGTACTCAAAACAATACTTTTAAAAACCAGTGGGAGTAGAGTAGGGTCATAGAAGATTCATCAGAAGAAAATAGAATTTGTCTAAAAGCATTAAGATTTGAAGGAGAATAAAATTTAAAGAAAAATCATTATCGAAGACTAGGTTTTAGACTAGGTTTTAAGTAAATGATACTTAAGACCGACCCTGTTGTGAACAGAAAATATATGTCTCCTTGTTGCTGTCAAATATCTGTGCTTATATTCAGATGTAACTTGCCAAAACAATTACAACAGGATGGAACTGCCTGTTGTGCCATAATTCACTGTATTTTATAATACCAAATTGTAGGTGTTTAGAATTTGTGGTGCATGTACACCTTTGGAGTTTTTGTTGATGTGTTTGTCAAGAATGGATGAAGTTCAGAATGGCAGTGCTTGAAGAGGATTCAGAAATGATTATTTAGATGGTGGACATCTCTTGACAAAGGCAAATATTAAAAAAACAGCCCCATTTTTCAATCAAATATATATGGTACAACATTCTAAATTCTGCCTACTGTATATACACTAATGAGGACCCAATGAGCACCAATACTTTCCTAAAGTGAGCTCCTTGTGAGCTATGGACAAACTCACTATGAAGTGTCCAGTTTTCTTTGCGTCCACATTTTGCATCTATTTTGTGACCTTTGTTTTTCCTGTAGAATTCTGCCCCTCGAGTTTTATGTCTTTTCTGAAGTAGACTAATAAAATGTTTATATGCTGCCTCTCAGTCCCTTTTCAAGCTTGCACTTAGCTTAGACAATCTGAACCAGGTTTCCTTATTCACCTCAATCACACTGGTAACTGATAGATCCTAGTATTTGGGGTTTATAGAGGATCCTGTGTTATTGAGGTCTGTATCTTATTGGAGTTCTAGATTGGATCCAAAGTTGTTCCTTAGCAGTCCATCTCCATGACAGTCGAATGTATTGTTGAACAGGCTAGGAGAATAAGACTTTGGTTCTGTTTTCTGACCCTAAGCCATGGGCACAGCAAGAGAAGTCTTTCTTTAGGGGGTTAATGTATGCAATTCCCTGTGAAACAGCAGTAATTTCATGTACACCTTTTTGTGCAGTTATACCTTCATTGTGAGCATCTGAAAATCTGATATTAGTGAAAGTACAGTGGTGCATGCATACATGTGGCAGAATTTTAGCTGGGCTTTCAATGTCAACGGCTTGAAATATATTTTCTATCTCTATGACATTAAAAAAGCTTAACCATCTTTATCAGTTGGTACAGTGTAAAAGTAGTTTCACTGAGATCTGGGAAAAAGATGAGATAGAGATAAGACCTGAGTCCTGATTCAGTCTGCCTGCAGGTTTTATTTGAAAATATTGTGTTTTTTTAAAGGAATTCTACAATTCAGCATACATGTTTTAAGTAATGCGGTCAATTTGGTCCAGCAAAAACTGATGTTGATTTACTGTTCAAAGTTCCTACACCTCTGATCAGGCGTAGGTAGTTCATGTAGTGCTCGATAATCTTGGTGTGAATAGGCTTTCAGATAAAAGTCTAATTTTTATCTTATTGGTATTTATAAATACTCGTTTGACTTACAAAGTACAGTATCTTAATAAAATATAACATAGTGTCAACAAGTCTTTTAACCACTTTTAGACAGAACACGCTATTAACCTTGTGTTAATAGACCACTTTATATCCAGAGTGGTGTTAATTCTAGCCAGCTCTACAGAGTCATTCCACCAAGTTCCATACTGTAGATCTCTTTGCATCTTTCCTTGCTGTAGATTTGGAGAAAGTGTCATGTTGGTTTAAATGCTGCATAGGGTGAGTATAAAATCACTATCATGGTACCTTTTGTATGACACAAAAGTAAATTTGAAAAAAGATCAATAATTAATACATTTAAACAGAATGCAAATCAAGGTACCTTCTGAGTCATAAGTGACACCTACAATGCTGGGGCTTTTTTGCTGTATCATCTTGTAAACTTTGTACCGTGTAACTTGAGAAAAGCAAAAAATGTTTTGAATACAGTCTATATATATATATAAATGTGTATGTGTGTGAAGCCTTGATATACCTTAATATATAAAATCACATTAATTTAAACAAATGTTTGCAAATTGGCAACTTTCAGTATTGCTTACTACATCATTACCAGTATGTTCTAGCTGGAGTTTTCCAAATATTGATGTTAAATACAAAGACACCTGGCAGAATAGCACACATCTTACTGACCCCACTTGTAAAACTATTGTGTTACAAACTGACCACTTCTAATGATTGTCCCTGAGAAATGGAAAAAAAAAACATGATGGGTTGGATTCGGGAAGAGATTTTTCAGGCATCACTACAGCAAAAGAAAAGCATAGTTTTAAATTTCTGTGAAGAGATTGTTGCCAGGGGCTCTCAAACCGGGATGAATCAGGGGTACAGTGCCTTGGAAGATCTTGTAACAGAGGAGACATTATATTTTTTGCTAGAATTAACATTAATTGTACGTAGGCTTGAATGTGTTCTTTATGGGATTCTCTCTTCTTTTATTGTTATCTATACAGAACTACATTATAAGAGTGTCAGGATCTGGTTTGTGAATGCGGGTTTCAATAGAATAGGCAAGTTAATGGTGAACTTTAACCATGTGATTCACATAATTCTTTTGTTTAGTTAATTTCACCATTTCAGTGTCTATTCTACCTCACACATTAGCATTATTCAGAATTGTTTCATTGATTAAGGGTTTCTGTGAAAGTGTGTTGAATGTCTTGACAATCAGCAAAGATTATCTTCAGTTTTCTTAAATATATATATATGTTACTTTGCAAACTGTTATATTATAATGACCTAGAACCCAAAAAGAAGTTTGAACAGATTTCTCAGTTTCTATATTGTATGTGTGCATATTAATTTGTGTGGGATTTTGCTATGAAAGGCATTGAAAAGAGAACTGCAAGGACTGGCAAAGTTTTGCCTAAGAAGCATTGATCAGAACCTGGATATTGTTACCTAGGCTGAAAAAAATGTAAATGTTTTAATATCAGGAGGATTCTCACCAGCTTCTGTAGCTCGTGATTTTATTTTTAGCTTTATATTTATAAAATGTAATTGTTTTACACATTACAATAAGATCGGTATCACTAATACTGCAGCTTGGAGAAGGTATTGATTGATGGGTAAAATTACTGTATAGGCAGAAAAATACAAAACTATATTTTTAGGAAAAACTATTCTTCTCAGCTTTTGTCCTTCCAGTATGTGCTGTCTGAACAGTGAGAAAGGTAAAATATACAACGTGGAATATGTGACAGGCAAAGGACCTTTTGATGGTACTGGAGAAAACTTGTTCTGTCAAACTTTGTTAGTAGAACTTGTGAGAGATTCACATTGAGATGCAGTACTAATTCCAAACCAGGTAAAGCTATGAAAGTTAAATACTTACAACAGTACCATAAGGTACATTTTTTTTGTCTCAAAGCTTACATTTTCAGGAATCAGAATTGTACTCATTTTTGCACAAAGCTTATTCCTTCATACAGTAGATCCTTCCTTCTAGTTTAAAACATGTTCTGCCCTAGAAGGAATAAGATCCTAAAATCTATTGTCTCTATTACATTGAAGTGTACAATAGGTTGCACTGTTAAAAATAATTAAACAAATTAATATAACTTTTCTTATTCTTCCTTACTTGTCTCCTAATGCACTGAGTGCTGAGATGAAGTGACTTGGTGCAAGAACCATCAATCTGAGCATGTGTGTAGCTAAGTGATAGTTATGAACAGTTATGATAGTTATGATAGTGAAAGAACGGATCAAAAATGAGAAAATGCTGTATGTTCAAGGATATCCATAATATTCCCTCTATTTATTTATATATATGTCAGTTTCTTAAAAGCCATTAATTAACCTAAAGAAAAGTGCAGCAAATTAAACTTATTTTGCATTAAGGAGCTCATCAGTTTTTATGGGTTTCCTCTGTTTTATATCAATCATATTTTAATTAAATGCAAAACATGCATGTATGAAACAAGAGAAAAAAGTACACTAGCTTGCCATTTTTAGCCACTCTGATAAGTGTTATTGCAAACATAAAAGAAAGCAAAATGAAGTGGCATGCATTCTTGTGCTCTGTTTACTTCTGTTGAGGTATTTATTTAGGCAAATGTATTGATTGTGTTGCTGCTGTAACTTAATTGACACTGAAGCTGTTGCATATAATGAAGTAAATGTAGCAAAACTGACAAAGTCCCTTTTCAAATGTTGAAAAACTATTTTTTTGCTTAGTTTTCTTGAATGTGGTGGTTTAATTCACTGTTTCCCTCTTTTATGTCTATAGTACTTAGTACTTTTTTAATTTGGGTGGAAACAACGTTTCCACTTTCTAGAATTGAAAATGGCTGAAGGAAACACAATGAATCTGGGCCCAGGAATGTTGAGGTCAGAGGTCATCAGTGACTATTAATTCCTGTCTTCCCTGGATCCCATTACAAAGGGCAGATAGTGTAAGAAACATAAGAAAGAAAATACCCAACTTTCAAGAATACTTTGGGTTTTAGTTTACAGGCTTTAGTGAAGCTGACCTGTATGGCGCCAATTTTATGTTCTCACTTTTATGTACAGTATATTAGTTATATATACTAACAGGGCTAGATTATTTTTTGTTTTTGTTTAAGAATTAACTTCCTTTATTGTTAAAAAAAACTCATAAGTGGTCAAATCTTGTTCATTTAAGAGTTCTGACCGCTGGTTAGGGAAAGCCTGTTGAATGAAGATCACAATGTCTGCATGTACTGTATACAGTAGGTGTTGTAAAAGCATGCACTATCTGACTTCCAAAGTAAGCCCCATCGAAATCAGGTTTTGTCTAGTGGAATGGCATCTTTGGGCATCTTAGGCAGATTATATTGTCTACGTACCTGTCTAAAATGCCTTTGCTATATTTTAAAAGGACTTGGAAGTGAATGGGGACATGCAAATTCCACAGAGGGATTTTTTTCCGTCATATCACACCCCTCTATTTTTTCTTACATGACTGTTATTATTTGTAATGGTTAAGTTATATACTGTAGTAGGATGCAATAATTAAAGTTTTGCAAAGTAGCTTGTAATAGTCATTTGCACATCAGACACAATTGTGTGTTAATGCTGCCATCAGGATTTCCGATTATACAGTAAAGAGAGGAAAAGTTAGTTATGGAATAAATGGGAAAAAGAAGTTTAAATATGTAGTAGCTTTTACAGAGTCCTATTCCAAAGTTTAAAAATCCTCATTTAAAGAAAGAATTAACTCTATGTCATTGGTCAGATACCACCATACAAGGCACAAGATACCAAACAGTCAGGTTGTTCTAAGTTATTCTTAAGTCTTCACAAGAGAACGGCTCCATGAGATTAATCAGGAAATGGATTACTGTGTTATCCATTAAATATGACGTCTTTTTTTAACTACAGAATAAATTTAAACAACTCATATTTAATATTATGTCAGCATATGTTTAATACAAAATTTACATGCCTGTAATGAATTATTTTGACTGAAAAGATGTTATTTATGACCATTTGCTCTTGGCTGGTACTGTAAATGAACTGATGCTTCATTGATAATTTATAATGATGAAGAAGATAAATATTAAAAGTAATTTTAGCACTATAAACATACACATATGATATTCTTCATGTTTTATGAGTGGGTAAAGATATGTGTATATTTTCACAAAAAACTTGCAAAAAATATTAGTAGAATATTTCAACAAAATGTCTACTGCCAGTTAGTGCTTTTTCAGGCAAATGTCTGTATGTACCCTTTTACTTTTCTTGTTTCTGTAGTAAGTTATGTGTTGTTTTTTTAATGATTTGTAGGAGTGTTTAGTACCAATTTCTTAGTTCAGTGTAATAAAATCCTTGCACCTTCCTGACAAAACCAGCTTGATCAACTTGAACAATATCAATTTTTAATCGTGCAGAAAAGTGAGTTACACATACAGTACCACATAGTGTCATACCTGGAGGGAGTCACAAGTAGCACTATGAATCCCCAATCAAACTCTGATCACCAAGAGGCCAAAACAAATTACTAGTCATTACGTACTTCATGCATCCTTTGAACTGTAACTGAAGTTATGAATGTTTCTGGCATAAACATTGAATCTAAAACCCCTTTTGGGATTGCCATCTGGAGTGCAGTCAAAATGCTTGCTGAGGTATTTCCAATTTAAGCTACTGTACATGGATGGTTTAGTATGAAGTAACTTATGTTTCTTTATTAACAGTTCTTGACAAAGTGATACTTTGATGTTTGCTGTATGATCCTCCTATTAATTGATCTTTTTTTCTGAAAATATCTGAAGTTGGGGCTATTGATGTTACCCTTCCTTACCAATGAAGCTGTTTCCCACTGAAGTGTTTATTTCACTGGGGTCTGTACGTAAAGATGGTAAACGAAGGATTTTGTTAGGAAAACAACACTGAAAGTTTTAAACTCCTTTTATCTATTGTTTTTCTCAATCCTTAAAAACACTTGTCTAAAATATGGAAGATGCTAAGTGCCAATGATATATCTTCAAAAAATAACATTTTCCACAATATTGTGTAATTGAACCATGTAATTAAAATATATAAGTTTAAGTCAAGTTGTGGGAGAAATATGAGGTATATTCAATCCATTTCTGGTTTTTGTGTCTCAGTAAATTGCCCACCAGCTACACCACCTCTTTCTAGAGGAGAAGAGAAGGTGCTGTTCAGTTTGACTTTGCTTTCTGTTCTGATGGTATTGCATTTCTTATTCTTTATTTTTTTCTCATTCTTTCATTGATATAACAGAAAATCAAACAAATCAATCACTTTTCTACTCTTGTTTTCAAAAAACAAAATTTAAAAATGCTAAAAAAAAACACACAGTTGATTTGTAAATAGGCCATGTACAGTTTGTATCCGTAACTGTCAGTCTGTCTTTGGTGACAGAGTCTGTCTTGCTTATAACGCACGCTACAAGTAAATAAATTTAAAAAAAGGAAAATATATTTAGAGTGTATGGTCCTTGAAAGCAAGTTTTAAATTAATCTCTGATGTATATTCCTGTAACATTGCATTTTTATCTAAGGAATGATGTTATTAAAAAATTGCAAATAAATTGAGTTTCCTAATGTCTTCTCTGTCTTTTGCTTTTTCTATAAATTGGGCTGTTGAACAGCTATATACTGAAAAACAAATACATAGGATACTTAATCTGTCTTCTCTGTTGTTCTTGTTCTTTGCTTATGTGTCTGTCAGGGAGAGTTCTTTCCGGACCCTATGCAGACGACACAATCCGGGGTAAAGTGAGAAAACACAGGGAAAAAAGCATGCAGGATACGGGGAAGAGAACAGGGAGGGCGTGTCCACGGAGTGCTGGTGGTCGGAGGAGGTGCGGCTGAGGCAAACGATCCAGGGATGAGTCAAACGGGAAATCCAAAATGGTGCAAAAAGTCCAAGGCCAGGCAATCCATCCGAGAATGATGATTATAATCTAGAACTGGGTCAGGAACGGGAAACAGGGAAACAGGAACGGGAACAGAAACTTAAACCATAACAGAGCCAGGCGCATCCAGGTCCCGGGCTCTGCATTGGTTCCCGCATTATGTGAGCCAGGGACCTGGATGCGCCTGATCCCGTTATGGTTTTAGTTTCTGTTTCTTGTGTTTTCTCACTCAACCCTGGATCATGTCATCTGCATAGGGTCCAGAAAGAACTCCCCCTGACAGTGTCCTATTAAAACTCTGGGTCTCAGGTCTTACATTGTAATGTTGTAGTGCTGTAATAGATACTCTGTCGATTATATAGTCTGTGCAGCTAGAGTACTGGCAGAGGCCTCAGAAAAGGCTATTAGATCCTAGGTTCAACACACATGGTACACTTGCATGAAGTTGGTAAAAAACAGAATTTTTCATGAAACTAGAAAGAGGACTGGAAATTATATATGGTAATTACATTATATATTTGGATATCAGCTCCTAATTGTCTAAAAAAGAAATTATTCTCACTTTGGGTGAAGTTTTGAGCTTTACTGCCCAGTTACCACAAGTTTAAGTCTGGGTAATGTCACTAGCTGACTGTAACCATGAAGCTCTGAGAAGTGGAACAAAATTGGCATAACATTTTCAAAGGTCGGATTGGGATTGCTCTCTCACAGTTCTCACAATTGCACCTCCTGCAACTTCCCAGGAGTCTGATGATAATTAAAGTCAGGCTGCACCTCCAGTAGGTTCTAAAGCTCTTGGAAAGCAGTCTGTCATTCATGTTTGTAGTGTACTGGCAGCTTTCTTTATAGAAATTTGACAGCAGCCATATCACCCTGCAACTCACAACTGGCAACCCACTGAAGCTAAGCAGGTGTGAGCCTGGTCAGTACCTGGATGTGAGACCTCCTAGGAAAAACTAAGGTTGCTGCTGGAAGAGGTGTTAGTGGGGCCAGCAGGGGGCACTCATCCTGCGGTCCATGTGGGTCCTAATGCCCCAGTATAGTGACGGGGACACTATACTGTAAACGGGAGCCGTTCTTCGGATGAGATGTAAAACTGAGGTCCTGACTCTCTGTGGTCATTAAAAATCCCAGGGCATTTCTCAAAAAGAGTAGGGTTGTAACCCCGGCGTCCTGGCCACATTTCTCATTGGCCCTTACCAATCATGGCCTCCTTAATAATCCCCATCTATGAATTGGCTATATTACTCTCTGCTCTCCTCCCCACTGATAGCTGATGTGTGGTGAGCGTTCTGGTGCACTATGGCTGCCATAGCGTCGTGTGGGGCTACACATTGGTGGTGGTGGAGGGGATTCCCTATTACCTGTAAAGTGCTTTGAGTGGAGTGTCCAAATAGCGCTATATAAGTGTAAGCAATTAATTATTATTATTATTATTTGATATCTATTGTAGAAGAATGGCATGTTAACACTTAATCTTATCTGATTCCTTGTGTTATACCTGTGGAGAAGCTTGGAAGATCAAATGGTCCAAGTTCACCTGCATATTAAGGATTTTAAAGAAACAATTTAATAAGAAGTCAATTCCCTTTCATGCTATAATAGTAGCTTGTGTTCCTGCATAATTTGATTGAGCATAAAATAGAAAAGCACATTTTTATAAATTTTTACCTAATCCATCTGATTTTTAATCATCAGTTATGTTTTTTTTTTCAAGTCACAAGACAATGAGGACGTATAAGTTCCTGATCATTCCCACATACACATTAGAATCCCATACCGGAGGTTCAGAACTGATTAGACGAGTCGACATTGGTCCCTCACCAACAACACATTATGCCACATGGCTACAGGTGTTGCTGTGTCACTGAGAAAAAACAGCCCTGGCCTGAGTCTTGGAGGCTGACCAGTGACATGATCCAGGCTCCATTCCACTGTCTCTCAGCTAAGGCTGCACTCAGACAAATAGCTTTAGCAGTGGATTCAAGAGGTCAAAGAAGGAAGGAAAGAAGGTTCTGTAACTGTCAGGAATCCTCAATGAAAAGGTTTGCAGACCCTGTGCAGATGCAGGAGCAAGTAGATATTAAGACAGGCGAACAATCTGGAATGTCAGCCGAGATCGTAGTCGATAGGCGAAAGAGTAGATCAATAACCAGGAAGTTCAGAGAGAAGCAAACAATCCAAAACAGAACATGAGGTCCAAGGTCGACAGGCAAAAGGGAGTTCAGTATCCAGAAAGCGAGGTTCAGAGTTAATGGAAGTAGAGCTCTCAAAGAGAAGACTCAATACCGAGCTGCGGGAAGTGGGTTAGGATGGTTTAAATAGTTAAGATTTAAGATTACTTTATTAGCCATATACAATTTCTTGCATTGGGAATTTGGCTCTTCACATACCCCAGCTTGCTCTCCATGAGACACAGACAGAGAGAAGTTGTGGGGTCAGAGTGCAGGGTCAGCTATTGTACAGCACCCTGGAGTAGGTAGGGTTAAGGGCCTTGCTCAGGGGCCCAAGGGATTCCACAGGATTTGAACCAGCAACCTTCCAGTCACACACACAGATCCTTAGCTACAGAGCCACCACTCCACTCCCTTTTTTTTCCTTTAAGATAGTGCTGCATGCTGCACGGGAGAGCGTGTGCTGATGGATTAACACATGCAGCGGCGCTTGTTCTTATTAACCCGCTGCTGGTACAGGTTGTTCTTTTGTGAGTTGATCTCCGCTGGCTGTTGGTCGTGACAGTAACAGCACCTACCCAGGGGCTGTGAGATGCTCGAATGCAGCACTTTAATTTTGGAATTTGTGCATGGCTCATTGTTATTCTATCAGATCTTACTGATATTTATTTTATTACTGGTGTGAGTCTAAAATAGTATATGAAGATGTGTTGGGTGGATGCTGTCAATTATTGGCTTTATGCTGTATGTTTGTACCATATTATCTTTTAACTGTATGAGTTCCCCAAACTAAATTCCTTGCAGATACAGTAGTTGTTATAGCACTAATTGAACGTGAACTTGGAAGTGTCAAATTTAGTTCAAGTGGGTAGCTGCATCAGCATGCGTAGGCTGCAAAGGAACAAGGTTTATTCCATGCTGAAAAGTGAAGAAAAGAAACACAACATTTCGGCTGTGGAGCCTTGTGTGACACACAGCCAAAGAAGGCTCTACAGCCGAAACGTTGTGTTTCTTTTCTTCTATAAACCTTAACTGTTCCTGTGTCAAATTTAGTTTCATTTTAACCAAGCCTAAAATTATTTTAAGGTCTTAACAGTTGTGAAGTGCAATCTATATTGTTTATGGTGTTTAAACAAACATACTGTAGGATTCATGATCTCCTGTTAGCTAAATGGTGGTGCTGCTCTTGCTGAATTACAAATACTACAAAAGACCTTTAGCCTTTACTTCTTAAATTTGGTGAAATCGAGGGAAGTTATAAAAATGGTAATGATAAAAGCAGCCACTGCTTTTATTTTTAAGTCATAATGCATTTTTTAATAATTTATTTACACTTCTCAATGTCAGGGTTCCAACACTTATTAAAGGGGAGCTGCAGTCCCAGTTCCTCAGACCAGTCATTACATCTTGGAAACCAAATAAATTCATTGACAGTATAGGAAAATTTACAAAATTTTGAAATAAGCACAAAATTATTTGTGCAGCCACCAGCCATATGACCTTGCAACTTGCAACTGGCAACCCACTGAAGCTCAGCAGGTGTGAGCCTGGTCAGTACCTAGATGGGACACCTCCTGGGAAAAACTAAGGTTGCTGCTGGAAGAGGTGTTAGTGGGGCCAGCAGGGGGCGCTCACCCTGCGGTCTATGTGGGTCCTAATGCCCCAGTATAGTGATGGGGACACTATACTCTAAAAAGGCGCTGTCCATTGGATGAGACGTAAAACTGAGGTCCTGACTCTCTATGGTCATTAAAAATCCCAGGGCATTTCTCGAAAAGAGTAGGGGTGTAACCCCGGCATCCTGGCCAAACTTCCCATTGGCCCTTACCAATCATGGCCTCCTAATAATCCCCATGTATTAATTGGCTTCATTACCCTCCTCTCTTCCCCACTGATAGCTGATGTGTGGTGAGCGTTCTGGCACCTTATGGCTTCCGTCACATCATCCAGGTGGATGCTGCACATGGTGGTGGAGAGGAGTCCCCATTACCTCTAAAACGCTTTGAGTGGAGTGTCCAGAAAAGTGCTATATAAGTGTAAGTAATTATTATTATTATTATTATTATTAAAATCATGAGCTTTGTGAAAGTGTTGTAAGGTGCCGTGTTGTCGCAAACTCACATTCAAGTTCCCACGAATTGTGATGTGAAGTGCTCCTTCCTGCTCACTAGTCACTGTAATGACTAATGTAATATGATGTACAAGCAAATATCATAATTATTATAAGTTATATTGTAAAATTAAAATTATGTAATTTCCATAAATAAATTATCTGCAGGCAGAGTTAAGAAGTAGTATTTGTTAGGAAAACCATCTAAAAGTTGGGAGCAATATTTGTTTTGGATTAAAAGAGATATACTGCATTCACATCACAGGAAATTTAGACCATTCTGTGATGTAAATTAGGTTTTACAAGTCACTGTGCACATTTTACTTTCATTGTGGTTTGAAATGCACTCATCAATGCCAATTCTTTCTAACCCCAAAATATAAAAATAGCATTGCAGTTCCCCCGTGTTACATGAAGAATCCACAATATCCTTTCTTACCACAAGGTGGAGCCATACACTTATTTCTTAATGAGACTATCTTAGTGAATCTATGCATTACAGGGAAGAATAATGAAAGATACAGAATTGATTGTACTAAGAATAAACTCATCAGAGTCTAATAATAATCTTTACACTTATATAGTGATCTGGCCAGATCAGCGCTACTCAATACCCACTCCATAAACAACAAGACTCTTTACGCACCTGCGCACCTGCGCACCTGTGGTGGGGGGGGGGGCTTTTTTACAATTTAAGTCCTACTACTATACCTCCTCCCTCTTCTTTGGAGTGCTTTGTTTTATGTTTCTCTATCCCTCCAATCTACTCTCATTGCCAGAGTTTATAGACCACCCAAACCCAGCTTTTAAAAAAAAAAGCAATTTTTAGGTGAGTTTGCTGATTTACTCTCGTTTTTATGCTTTAAGTCTAAAAGGATCCTTATTCTAGGGGACTTTAATATACATATTGACTCAAGGTCTACCAGTGTAGCTAAAGTCTTCCTTTTTCTATTTGGGATGCTTAGGTCTTCGTTTGTTTGTACCCCTACACATAACAAAGGACACAGCCTAGATTTAATTATTGCAAATGACTCTTTTGTCTCCCACTGCCCTTCCCTTGATCTAGACCTCTCTGACCACTTAGTTATTCTTTTTAATCTGGAATTACCTGTTTCTAACATTTCCCCCTAACGCTCTGTAAACTTCCGCAACTGGCGATCAATTGATCAGTCAAGGTTTGCAAAATCTGTTCTATCCTCCTTATCAGCGTATAACACTGCCCTAGACTAGAACTGTTAGCCCTTCATTTGCTCCTCTATGGACAGCATGTTGCTCCATTATACTTTTTGGACAATCAGTCTGTATAAACCTATGCACATTTTGCACATATGTTATTGATTTTACAACGACTATGATCAGCACATTTTGCACACACCTATGTATTTATTTATTTTTATTTATTTTGTTTGTCGTTTGTTTTATAACTATTCTGATGTCTGTTTTGCTTGTCTTGGGCTGGACTGCTGTAACACATCAATTTCCCTATGGGATTAATAAAGTATTATCTATCTATCTTGTCAAAGCCAAACTGCACCACCACATTACCTGCCTTATCGAAACTTTGCAACACATTCTTTACCTCAGCATCACATTCTCTCCACCACGCATATCATTTCTATACATCCTCCCTCCATAGCAAACTCAATAAACCAGTTACACACATGAAACCCACCACATCTATTTTAGATCCCATTCCCACCACTTTATTTCAGTCCTGTTTCTCTTCTCTCTGTCCCATTGTCCTCGATATTATAAATGAATCCTTGAACACTGGCATTGTACCAACGGTCCTCAAAACTGCTGCCATAACCCCTGTGCCAAAAGAGCCTAGCATGGCTCTGGATTATCTAAACAATTTTCCCCCCATCTCCAATTTACCCTTTCTTGCAAAAATTCTACAAAGTGCTGTCACATTTCAGTTACATTACCACCTTGTAGCAAATAACCTTTTCAAACTCCCCAATCTGGCTTCCTTCAACTTCTCAGCACAGAAACTGCCCTGGTCAAAGTCACTAACGATGTCATTGTTTGATGCTTTTAAGATGCTTTTGGTTGATGATTTATATACACAAATATAAATTTTAGGGAAGAACTCAGATTAATCACTGGATTGACAGTATACTGTTAACCATTACACAAAGGAACCGCTGCCTATAAAGGCCATAGTGACTATCAGAGTCCAATAGTCTTTACAATCTGTATAAAACACTCAAGGCATGCTTTGGTTGTTGTGGAGTGAACTCTGGTTTCCTACTAATTCAGCAATGTTAGAGCTGGAACCAAATGTTTGCTGGAGAGTTTACTGGAAGGTGATAAGTAAATTGTGGAATTAAGACAAAGGTAATAACTATTTATACTGTAATACTGTAACTTCTCATCCTGTGTGCTCTTAACAACAAAGCTTTTATTAACACTACTGATAAAGGCATGTTGATAAAGACTGAGAGTTTTTTATGACATCTTGTAGAGGCTTCTTACTTGAACTGAAAGGTAACTAAATAATGAACTACAGGCCAGACAGGGTCAGGCAGACTGGGGACAGGAAAACCACAAAAGTGTTTACACAAGTATATGTCCAATGTAACCAAATCTATATTATGTATCCGCATAATTGATGTTTTCCATTCAATCCCAATTCCACACTTCTCACTTTCTTATTTTCTTACTGCACACTGTTCCTGGGTTCAATTCCAGACCTGGAGCACTATTTAGGTGGAGTTTGTATATGTTCCCAGTGTTCATGTGGGTTTCTTCATCTGCTCCAGTTTCCTTCCACTGTCCAAAGACATTCTAGTAGGTTTTGTGGGACAAATCTGGTGTGGTTGTGTGTATGTCTATGTCTGTGTCCCCTGTACAGGGTGGGCCAGTTTCTTGCTGAGATTGTATTCACATTCCCACAAATTGCGACTTGATGCAGCCTTTCCTGCTCACTAGTCACTGTAATGACTAATGTAAGGCAATGTATGAGCAAGTACATATTTGTGCAGCAGACATTTCACTTTCACTGTTCCAACGCGATCTGCATGCAGAGTAAGCAGTATTTGTAGGCAGAACCGTCTCAAAATTGAAAGCAATATTTCTACTGAATTAAAAGAGATGTATTCAAAAGCCTGTTTTTTTTACCATGTAACAAAGCCATTTCACGTCACCGGACATTTTATTGCCTCAATCTGAATAGCAAACATGGCATTGCATATACCTGGAAATTTCGTCCATACCTGGAAATTTTGTGATGTAAAATGTAGGTTTTACAAGTTACTGTATACTGTAAAGCACTGGGGTTCACATGGGCGCCCTCACCGCTACCACATCAGGTCGGCTCCCCACTGTCGGAGACTTGAACCCGGGCCTCCTACGTCACTCAACAGGGACGCAGCCTCCTGAGCCAAAGGGAAATCTCCCATCAGCCCAGCGGCTGCAGTCTCTGCTATCCATAGGAAAGGGCGGTGACATCACCGCTCTGGTAAGCCAGCAATGGAGGCCATATGCGTTACAATACATTTTATATTTTTATTGTGGTGAAATGGATTAGTGTGGTTAAAAAAACAGGATTGCAGTTCCCCTTTAAAATGCTATAATCCTTGTAAAATTTGTGCATCTTGCTTTTGTTTGTAACTTATTTATCATGTATTCTTCAAGATGGTTAAAACATTTTTTTAGCTATATAATTCAATTGTTCTAAATAGTAAAATAAGGTTTGTTAGGAGCTAATGATTGTAGTGTACTGTATGTGTAAATCGTGATCTGGAGAGTCCCCTTTCAGAGATCTTAGGAACCCCAAAAACCTAGGGCCAGCCCTGGATGGAACTGCAGGATGGCAAAATATTATTGAATGAAACAGAGTTTAAAAGAAGCAGAATGGCATAGAGGCCAACAAATCAGTATATAATAGATGGCAATAGTTTTAATGGATTCTTCTTGAAACAACAAATTAGTCCAAATAGTAAATAAATCAAAGCCCATGAAACAGCAACATGTGTAGTTTTACAGTAAATATACTGTAAGAAAATCACAGAACAATTTTAAAAAACTGTTAAAAATGAAGCCATTCTGCCTATCTAACTTAGTTGGTAGTTAGTGGATAATAGACCCAAAGGTTTCATCCAGTTGTTTCTTAAAAAAAGACAGGATATCAGCTTTTAATATAACTATCCAATTTAATGTTGGTGCTTTGGAGAAAAAAAATGAAATATGCTAACAATTTACAAAAGTTTCTGGCGAATGCGTAAGACTGTGCTAGATTTTTCCATGTACCAGCATGTTCTACCATTGTTGTCAAGTCATTTCAATAGATCACCATACAAAAAACAGGCTAAAAAGCACCTGTGATCAATACTATTGTCTCCAAACAAATACAGCAACTCAACCGAATACCTAATCACAGTGCACCCACTTTTATTGCACTTTGGTTACACAGTAAACCTGCTCCTCCTATTCACAATCATATGATGTCATATCATTGAGGGAGAGACAGAAACCCTTGTCAATATCAGTCCTTCAAAGACAACCAAAGAAGGATGGAGCAAGGCCACAGCCAGGAACAAAGGAATGAGTGATATTTTTAAATTGAGCTATTGGAGTTTGTGGATTTGTATGCTAGCAAAGACTTTAACTATTAGAAATGTAAGAATAACAAACAGTAGATTTATTGGGAATGTGTGGGATGCTTTTTACAAAACAATTCATACATTTTGGGATGTCAGAAATTGGTCGCCAAATTTCCCCGTTTTTCTGAAGGTGTGAGTAGTCCCTTTATTGTGTTACAAAGACTTGAAAATGTCACTGTCTTCAATGACCGGGTCAGTGGAGATGCATATGAACTTGGGACTGGCAAAGAAGAAGGAAATGGGGAACGCAGTAGCACAAATTCGTGACGACGCCTCTAAAACTCTCTCCCACTCCATCGAGGAGATTTTAAGAAAACCATCACAACGTGGAGCCACAGAATTAAAACAGGGACATTTCGAGGGAGCTGCTATGCCATTGAAGTTCATTGAAGGCAAGTTGGATTTTTATAACACTAAAGATTAAAGAAAATGTTATTTTGTGTTTATTTCTTCAATGGCAAAATTAAAGAAAGAAAAAATAGCATATGAAGATCTGCATACCAGAACTAATGAAAACAAATAGGTAAATGTCATTAGGAAGATAGAGCTGAACATACAGTACAGTTATGTAACAAATTTGACATGGGATTGTTCTATGTCTAAAAAAAAGTACAAAAGAGAATGAGATACTTATAGTAGATATTCAGATACCACTCAGATAGGGCTCTATGTATTTTACAAAATACTTAACACCTTTCTCAAAAAGATTCAATATAAAATTGTCAGTGCACACTACATATATTCCTCAAGAACTCATTAAGTGACTCAAAATCTGAAAAGCACATTGTCTAGATTTCAGAGCTTGTGGCTACCACTACACGTGGCAGTGTAAACATACTGTACACTGAATGATCACTGTTACCAGGGTGCAAAATCAAAACAAAAAAGGTATATACACCGGTATAAAAAAATAATAATTCATGAAGCTAACTGATTAATCCTTTGCATTATATTCTGCTAATATCCATTTCTTTATACAACTTTGTTGACTACAGTGGTTGGTGTTGTGCAGTGCCACTGTTCTTTTACTTTATAATATTTGTTTTGTTTGGTAAATGTGTGAACAATTAATGTGAGAAATTTAGAAAAGATCTGAGTACAGTTAACTAAAATAAAACTAAAAATCATCTTTTCAATTTCATATTTATTGACTGTAACAATTAGGCTACAGTATGTACAGTATATAATCAATATAAAATATCAGTTGGCATAAATATTATTAAGACATTATATATGCTGATATAGGTATGTACCCATTATCACATTGAAAATATTGAAAATTAATTTTGTGCATGACTGTTTAATAAACCCCATCAATCATTAGCTTTTTAAAATAATATACCTTTTATTATATATTTTATGCATGGACAAAATATGTGATCTTCCCAGGATTAAAATATAGTAATAACAATATTGTGATGAACTATCAAGACTTGTAAAAATAGTAATTTATATCATGTAGACCCCTTCTATAGATTAAACTTCTATAGGTGCGAACATTTCCTATTTGTCTTACCTGATCTGCAGTGCTGTTGGTACATACAGTATGGGATGCTGCACCTCATTCAGGTAGGTGCTGAGCTTCATCAGCAAATAAGGAGGCCCCACTTTTTAGTATAATAATAATAATAATAATAATAATAATAATAATAATAATAATAATAATTGCTTACACTTATAGCGCTTTTCTGGACACTCCACTCAAAGTGCTTTACAGGTAATGAGGACTCCCCTCCACCACCACCAATATATATAAGTATATAGTATATAGTATATATAAGTATGTGTGAAGCCCTTTAGAGTTTTGGTGAGATAGAGATAGTCCTGGTACACCAGCTATTGGTCAGTTCACTTCAACTACTGTACCTGCAGTGGGTTGTGTTTTGTATCCCTTACTGTTAGAATAATTAGGATTCTATTTAAATGTATCGATAAGTTCTTTAGATAGGAAGTATAAAAGTATACTGAATCTTCTGTACCCCTTGAGTGGTTAGTAATATTCTTTTTTTTCCTGGTTGTTTAGGCTTACTGAGCTTAACTGAAAAGATTTTTCAACTTTTTTGGAAAATTAGCGAAAAACTGAATTTTCTGCACTGTGTCACTGAGTGTTTGGTTTTAGGCATACATCTTTTGGAGACTGCTTATCAAGCACTTTAGCAAACAGACTAAACAATAGAATTTTAAAAAGGGAAGCTTTGTTCAGTTTGCTCAACTGCAATAACTGAATACGCAGGATTTTTTCCAGGAACAGAACTGTGAAACTCTGTACTACTATACTGTATGTATAGACAGAAAAGGCTTTGGGTTTCTACACATTAGTGGAAGGTTAGCCGATTTCTATAAATGGATTTTAGAATTTTTTTATTGAACCATATACTTTGAAAACACAGTATGAAGGTAATAATCCAGTAAATTAGTAGGGCTTTTTGGCAAAATATTTTAAAATTTCACTTGATTATTCCATTTGAAACTGTGAATAGAATCAAGTTTTTTACCCAGAGAAGCTGTGGGAGTATTCAACAAAATAGCTAGATCTGAAGATAATTTAGCTACTACCAAATAGGCTAGTCTGTTAAATGAAGTAGTATACAGGCATCCTTATTTTTTTGTAAAATGGGTGACGATGGATGTTCTTTGTCTCCTGCAGAGCTTACTGAACAGCAGCTGTCCTCACAAGAGCTGGAGAAAGCTCTCTGTGAAGGGAGTGTGTCTAGCCCAGTTAGGAGCAACAGAGGCCAAGACCAAACCAGGCTTCCCAGTGCTGTGTCACAGAAAACAGAATGGATGCACCTCCCCACAACCCCCGGAGAGGGACAGGAGCGTCAGAGAGAGAACAGGTTTTGTGGGATCCAGGGTCACCACCTGGTGTGTCATTCCCTGCATGGTGAGTAAATTCCCAAGATCCAAACAAGCAGTGACACACCCACATGAAACAGTGCTGTATATTCAATTTTGGTGGTAAATCTATTTTTATGCAGCAGGCTATAATCTCTTGGGCTCACATAGCTTGCACAAGCTTCTGCACTTTATTGCACTACAGAAGGCTTCCTTAAATTTAATGTACTCAACTTGAAGGCTGCCACTTACTGGGTCTGTGGAATTAGCAAATTATCTTAGGGTACCAACCTGCAACTCACAACACATCACAAGCTGATGTATGGTGAGTAGTCCAGTAGTCTATGGCTGCCGTCACATCATCCAGGTGGATGCTGCACATTGGTGGTGGTGGAGGGGAATCCCCATTACCTGTAAAGCACTGTAAGTGAAGTGTCCAGAAAAGTGCTACATAAATATAAGAAATTATTATTATAAATCATTTCACTTATCTGAATGTTCCAGGATTAAAGTCCCCTGCCATACCTAGGGTGCTAGCTGAATGAAAGATGACTCTTTTATTGTTATGCACCATTTATTAATTTTATTTGCTGTGCAGCTTCAGTAGACAAGAAGGGACGTCGCAGAATACGGACCACCTTTACCCCTGAGCAACTGGAGGAGATGGAGAAGATCTTCCAAATCACTCACTACCCTGATGTGTACACCAGGGACGAGCTCGCGAGTAAGACCAAACTCCCTGAAGGCAGAGTCCAGGTATCACCTTGCAAAGATCTCATATCCAGTCAGGTCCAGCTAACAAATATGCACTTAAGTTAAAAAAAGTACTTTCTCAATATCACATTCTTATTGCCTTTAAAATAAAAGAATATAAAGATAGGCTGACTTTGACCTTAAAATCGTTCTTAAGGCTTAGTTTTACATGCATCCATGTACAGGTGAACAATGTAATCAAAATGCAATATTGTTTTAGGTTGCCCTGATATTTCCTAAATCCCCAATCTCAATGTAGTATCAGGTTGGTTCTTGCTGAGATTTTAAAACCTTCTGCTTCACAGGTAGATGCACATCAGCTCTGATACAGAAAAACTTGCTGAAGTGCTAGAAGTTTTTTTTTTCATGTAGACAGGGTACTTATATATACAGAAGATACAGTTTTTCATCAGCCATAACACTTTTGGTCTGGATTTAGCCTCAGGGAGAGTAAACAGGCCCCCACATAGTGCTTGAGCAAAGTATGGCGCTGCGTTATGAAGTCCATTTTTGCTTTGTTGTTGTTTTATTTAAGAAAATATTAACAATTCAAGACAGGCGCAGATTATAATTAGTAACACATTTAAGAATCAAGAAAGTATGTGGAACAACTATGTTACCAGTACAAAAACGTTTATTGGCAGGCGATGGCCAGTTAGTCTAAGGCCTCCTGCCGTCCAAAACTATCCTACTCTTATTTGACTCCTGAAACGTGGACCAACCACAGAGTATTGCTAATTAAAGAAACAAGTAAGGGAGATAATAGAGAGAGATAATACTGGTTTCTGAACAGCAAAACAGTCCACAGAATGGTCTGATCTATAGAACAGACATACATTTAAGAGAACCATAGCTCTAAACCAGATAATGCATCCCAGAGAATCAGTCGTGGTGGGGACAAAATTGAAATATGTACATTTATCCAAAAACATAAAATCAATAACAGCCCTTTTCTTGTTGTCCCTCTGGTCCTGTGGCTTGTTCTTTTCCATGATTAACAATACTTAAAATGCTCCACTCCTGAAAAAAAGAACAATAATCTTGATGCTGTGTATCGGCAAGCAAGTGGTACTATTTTTCTCTGGAGGAAGGGGGTAACAAGAGAGAGAGACCTTATATAGTATATAGTAGAGTTGCTTATATAGTAAGCTGGTCTCGCAAGAACGGCCAAACACCAACTGGGCTACAGCAAGCCCAGCTCTGCCCTTACAACAGACCTGTTGGTGAAGTCGGAGAAGTCATTCCCTACTTTGACCTGGGATTCTGTCACTGAAAAGCCCATTATACTTAGTGGATTTCTGTGCCTCCTGTTGTTTTCTGTGCTGTTCTGCCTGAACCTTATAGACTGCAAAACGGCTATTTCACAATCCATATTCGTAATCGAAGTATACTCTCCAGCTGGCAACTTTATGTATTGTATGTATTGCATGAGCTATACTTCGAAATATATCTGTTGCTGGAAGTACAGTGTTGCTTCCAAACGTCTATCAATCACAGTATTTTATTTAGAACATAGGAACATGAGAACAGTGATAAACAGGAGGCTATCCAACCCATCCATCTTAATAGTCAATAGTGAAATGATCCAAGGATCTCATTCAGCTGTTTCGTGAAAGAAACCTAGAGTCTTTGTTTCAACAACATGGTTTGATAGCTTGTTCCATAGTCCCACAAACCACTGGTTAAAGAAGTGCCTCCAGTTCTTGCTTTTAAACACTTTCGCCTTCTGGCTTTCACTGTTCATTCAAAAGAAATCTGCTTGCCTGACTTTGTTAATAAAGCATTATCAGGTCTTTAGACAGAAGTCTAAATGAGGCCTTACTAGTGTATTATATAGTTTTAATATCCCTTGATTTGAGTGCTATACTTTTATATCTATATCCTAGAATTGTGTTTGCCTGCTTAGTTGTTTGCCCTATTCATTATGAAGATGTAAATGGCATTTCCAAGTCATTTTGTTTTTTCTCTATGACAGATCTGGTTCCAAAATCGCCGAGCCAAATGGAGGAAGCATGAGAAACTGGGAAACTTTGGGGAGCTGCAGTACATGACTGAGGTGGACACGGTACCAGCTCCAAGGCCCAGCCCAGGAGTGAGTTAACATAGCTTTACGCTCTGGATTTTGCTCAGGACAGACTTGCAGTATTTCATACGTATGTCTGGTGTCATGACTCGTACCTTCTCCCATAAGCACACTGGCATTCCCATGCGTACTAAATTCCACACACGCTCATCCAGGAACTAATTATCCAACCACTTCTCTCTCTCTTCAATATTTAAACACTCTTCACCAGCCTACCTACACTAAAGTTAGGAAGTCTTCCACAGCTTTCTCTTGTGCGTGCTAATATTCTCGACCTGACTCCTTTGACTTACCGACCTGGTTCTCCTACTTTTGACTTTGCTCTTGCCTAACGACTTGGATTTGGAATATTGGATTTACTTTTTCTTGTACTACCTTTCTCACAGCTTCGCACAGGGGTCCAAAAACTCACCCCTTTCAGAAATCCTGACAACTGGAGTCTGATCGCTGATAAAAGAGATCACTTACAAGGAACAAAGACAGAAACAAGTTGAATCATTTTTAAAAACATTTCCTGCATAAACTGTTCATTCTGTTAACTTATTTTACAATACTAAATCAAAATAGTTTTTTACAGCACCTCTAATTCCTCATTAGGAAACTAACTCAGATTCTAAACAAATAAAGTGATTGTTACAGGTACAGTAGCAAAATAAATAGGCAAGACTTTTTTATGGTTGGAGGTACTGTATGAAGGTTAATATGCTATTTGACTGTAAACCCAGTAGATCTGTTACAGAGAATTCTAGTTAATACATTCATTTTTAGACAAAACAGAAGCAGTTAAGCAAAAATATGATATTCCCATTTTAAGAATTTAGGGAAAGTAATCTAAAATAAAGTAATTTGTCTTAAATATTGCTTTCCTGCTGGCCTATCTACCTTTAAAGCTGTGAGAAACTGTCACTAATTCATCAACACTTAATTTGTGGAGTAGACATGTTTATGTTAAAGCGATCTTTTGTGACCTAGACTAAAAATTTTGTTTCACTTGTTTAATATAACACTTTTTGGTCTTTGTGTGTAATAATAGTAGTTTATATCATTTCGGAATAAAAACACTGTCTGTCTCTACATGGTACCTCAGTCAGGTAATCAATTATAAGGAAAGATTCAACCATGCACACCAAAGAGCTTACAAAACAATTCAGGGATAAAGTTGTGGAAAGGCACAGATCAGGAAAGGTTTCTGCTTCCTGTCCATTAGTTAACTCTTAATCCAAACTCATGCATTAAATTGAATGCTGGCAGTCTACAGTCAAAAATTAATATTTTATCAAAAGCCTTCTGAAAATCCAAATAACCATATCAAATCTATCTCTTGCATCCATTACTGTAATTGCTTGATCAAGGAACTCGTAACTAGTTACAGTACATTCAAGCAACCTTTTCTAAATGTTTAACTATCCCTATTTATTATTGCTTAGATCCGTATTCATATACAGATGTTACAGATATGAGACTTTGGATGGGTGTACATTAATAATAGTTTTGTCAGTGAATATTGCCTCAGTTCCAGTATATCTTTGAAACTGTATCTGACTTAAATATCACAGGTGTTGTTAAGTCTGAATAACTAATTCAAAGCAAGCATATTTCAGTCATTTCTTATGAATGGTTGTTTCACAAATATTTATTGAATAAACCTAATTATCCCAGAAATATTTACAAGTAAAGATTTATTCCATGCTGAAGAGAGAAGAAAGGAAACGCCTGAAGAAGGCTCCACAGCCAAAACTTGTGCTTCTTTTCTTTTCTTTTCAACATGGAATAAACGTATAACTTGTTCCTTTGCAGCTTACGCATGCTGACGCAGCTACTTACTAAGAAATACTGTATTTACACTAAAAAGACCAAAAACAAAGACTGAAGTTTGGAAAGTTAACTGTGAATTTTGAGAAATAGCATGGGATGTTTTATTTTATCTGAACATGCAAAATGATTAGACGTGTCACTCATTGTATTCCCTTGGACACAGGGTGATGGAACGCTGCCCCATGAACACACGGACATCTCCTTCCTGCCTGGGTGCAACCTCCTTCCCACAAAGCTCCTGCCTGCTGGGCTACATCAACAGCACTTCACACCCTACCATCCCGCCTCTGCCTTCACTGCTCCCTTCCCTCATGTACTCTTGTGTTACTTGCCTCCGGGACATCCCTGCATCTTTCCAAATCTCCTCCCAACACTGAGGAAGACCCTCAGCTGACAAAAGGCCACAGAGCTCTGAAGACCTCTAAAAATGTGAAACTATTCTCAAGTCGGTCTCCTCAGGGTATTTCTGCAGCACAGGCTATTTTATGAAAAATAAGACTTCTATGTAGTTGCTTGTTTCTTATCATGTACACTTTATTGGTACTAAACAGAAAGTATATGTCATTTCGCATTGGATGTTTTCACAAAAAATCACATTGCCAGCACTTTTCTTGCTTTTGTCGGTGTGTCAGCAGTCTTAACTCCAAACCGTGGATCTAGTAAAATCCCGTAAATAGTTACACTGAATGACTGATTTTTGAACAATGCCAATAAGCATTCCTCAATTGAGTTGAATTACTTGCTGAAATTCTCTCAAGGTTTATGTGCCATGCTGACTATCCTTACCTTTCTGAGATAAGATGGGATATGAAATGGGAGCTGGAGTTATAAATGTTGTAATGTGTTGAGCTTTCTAATTATTGCTCAATGAGTTTATGGCATTATGCAGATAAGACTGTTCCTTATTTCATAATGAAGGGGTCATTGGTAGGTCAAAATGTAAATAAAATGTCAGCAAGTTAAAAAAACAGACTGAAGCTCAGTATACAGTTAGTGCATACTGTCTTTGAGGTGCTTTTGTAATATTATCAGAGAGTGGTTTTCTAAACTGGCATCTGAGTTAAAACCACTCATTTTTTAAATTTGGGATTTAGTGTTTTGATGTAAAACATAATACTAACTTGTTCAAAACCCTTCAAAACATATATAGAAATGCACATTAATAAAAATGCTTTTTAATAAGTGTTTCCAAATAAACAAGATGCTTGGTAAAAATTGTTGCTGTTAGAATACTGTACAAGAAAACAATGTAAAACTGCAAACCAACCGAGGTTTGAATTATTTGAAAACAGACACTGGAGATATGGTACAGAATAAAATAATTGTATAAAAACTGTTCACATACACCCAGTTATATTTATATTTACAAGCTTGCCTTTTTCTGTTAAAAAGAAACTCCTATTTCCTGTCCTGAATGTACAGTTAGATTTCTCAGGAACCTGTCTTTTCTGGTCTCTGATGAATTTCGACAAGTTTTTTTTTTCTTCACAAAAACTATGATGTGAAAAACACAAAACATAAGTAAGAAACAAGCAGCTCAGGCATGTTTTGTCTGTCGTATTGTAGGTCTTCTAAATGAAGGTGATGCTCTGTTGTGTTATTTCAGAATGTTTCACATACCCCTCTAGTGTTATAGACAGCAAGAAAGAATACTGTACTTTGAAGACAACTGAACTTTGGAAAAGATTGTATGCATTTTGTAGTTCCAAGAGTTAACTGTGTGAGGAGAAAAACAGGCGCAAATAAGAGACAAAATGAGCCTGACCTTGTACTTGAAAATTTGGAATGTTTTTGTTGACCATAAAGAGGAGATGTTTTTATACAAACAACAAAAGTACAAAAGTAACAATGTAAACATCACTACAATATATCCTGGGAGAATATCAGGATTGATCTGATCATCTGAGGCTACATTACACAAGCTTGGATTAAGTTAAATGTATTAAGTGTCTTCTCATTGACATACATTTTAGTAAATAATATCATAATTATGAGCAAGTCCATGCTGGTACTGAATATTCACTGCTGTTTTAGTGCATATACTGTACCAGCATGGTATGCTGGTTCTATATTTTTCACTCAAGAGTTTTTTTCTTCTTCATGCAGAAACACAGTTTTATGATGATACTGACATTTTATATATTTTTTTAGTTTAAAATCATACAGATTTGTAAATCTGCAAAGTGTAGCCTTTTATCTTTATGAATGTGCAGTGAAAGAAATGATGATAATGACTTTTTAAATATCATGGTGTTGTGGATTAGCAACAAAACAGCTCATTGAAGTATTTACCTTAAGCAGCTATGATCAAGATTTTCAAGATCAACATGAATTAAAAATTGCTTAATGACAAATGTAGTTTATTCAAATCCAAAAAACAGGATTAACAAAAGTCAAAGTTGTTGGAATATATTGAGAGGCATTAAAAACATAACAAATGAGTACTGGAACACAGCAAATGAGTATTGCATTTTAAATCAGCGTAGAAAACTATTTCAAACTAAATTGTTGATGCACATACAGTAATATAAACATACAGTATATTTTGCCTAAACTGTCTTAACATTCACTTTACAGCAGTATATACTGTATGTAGTCATCATCCTCATCATTGGCTAATTCACTTTACATTAATTCAATATAGATTAAGCAGGCGGAGCAGTGGCTCTGTGGCTAAGGACCTGCGCCTGTGGCTACAAGGTTGCTGGTTTGCATTCCATGGCCGGCAGGGGAATCCTACTCTGTTGGGCCCCTGAGCAAAGCCCTTAACCCCAACTGCTCCAGGGGTGCTATATAAATGGCTGAGCCTGCGCTCTGACCCCAAACTTCTCTACCTGTCTGTGTGTCTCATGGAGAGCAAGTTGGGGTATGCGAAAAGACAAATTCCTAATACAAGAAATTGTATATGGCCAATAAAGTGATCTTGTCTTATTAAAGGCCTTTGTAAGATTCTTCCATTGATTTTACCTTTAATTTAATTGTTTACTGATCTCAACGTGTTATCTTTGCAGAATGTTTTTATCTGGGTCATGTTTGGGACTTCTGGGAAAAAGGAAAGACCAGACTTGTACAAACTCACTGTATTTACTGTATTTATTACTGTATGTGAAAAACAGTTTTTATATATTAAATATTAAAGTTTTTAAATCAGTGTATATGAAAGTTGTCACAAATCTTGTATGAGATAAATGCCTTCTTTATCAAAAGTGTTCCTCTGAGTGGAATTAAAAGCTCAAGAAATGAGTATAACAACCAATTGCACATGTTTTTAATATAGTATTATAATACAGTATACAATATGTTGTTGAGCATTTTTTCTGGTAATAAAAATGAAAGAATCTTTTAAGTTATTTTAAAAAAAGATATATTTTAATGATTTTTATGTATTAATCTTCATTTTAAAATACTTAGCTGTCACTATGTTGCCCAGACTGCCACAGTACTTTTTCTTTTATTGGGATGTGGAGGTGCATTTATAATGGTGCTCTTGCCTTGACTCTAAACTTTTCAACTTTTAAACTTTTAACCCCAGTCTATCTGTCTTTACAGCCCAGTTATAGCTGCCTATCTTATCAAACACTTATCATGAAAAACCTTTTCAGCTATATACACAGCATAGGCATTAATGTGCTTATTTTCACTGCAGTTTTTTATGACTGTAACTAAGCATTTCTTTCTGAGAAAGAATCATATCGAGGACTAATTGTATTAAAAATAAGTTTACTAGCTATTAAATATACAGTATTTTATAAGATTATCACAGTATAATAAAGGCATTTATTACTGTTTTTTTCTGCATGACTTACAGACAAATTGATTATATTACCTGCCAAGATAATTGATACTGTACATGTTTTCATACCTAAGAGTTACATAAGACCTCATCTTTTTTTTAAATAATAGACATGACTGATGCTATGACATCCTATGGTTAAGACATTTAATGAAGGTCTTGGAGGTTTGAGCTTTGGGGTGTTAATTTAATTATAATTAAATTAAATTTTAAAAGGTTTGGCACAAATAAAATGTATCCAAATAAGGAGCAGTTTCATTTTAAATATAAATCAAGAGAACAATTAGAAGAATACATAATTACTGACAAAACAGTTTAGCTGACTGTGGTTAAAGAAGATTCAAAATGATCCAATATAATCAGAGAGGTTAAGAGTGTTCAGAAGTATTGCCTTATTTAAGTGAATGTCTTTGAAACTTGTTTTTTTATATGTACAGGTAACAATAATTATAAATACACATACGTTGAAAAGATAATTGATCATAATTAGAAATTATAAGAAAAGTGGAGAGCTGCATTAATCTGAGAACAAAAAGATAAAAAAGTGGCTATAGACCATTCTTCAGGTACTGTATGTAGAGAAGAGAAGAAACATATCATCTTTTATATTATAATATTATAATTATGCACATAAAATCTTAATCCCTCTCATCCACTCTTTTTAGAATATACTCTTCTACCTTCTGGAAGGAGGTACTGTACCAGATCCCTTGAATGAAGACTAAGAGTGCATTTATACTCTCTTCAATTTATGCCTAAAAGTTACAAATGATGTTATAACTATACCTATAAGAATGCTTTAAGGTATAAACGCAGTTATACCTTAAACTGTATCACCATGAATACAATTGTCTAGGAATAGAGACACAGAAAACACAGAAAAAAAAGATACACATTTCTGACTAACCTGGGCTTCAGACTGAAATCCACTTGTTTTGGGTGTTCATTTTCTGGAGAAAAAAAAATCAACATTTTCAATGCAGTTCATTTAAGATTATAAGTACACATATCATGTAATTAAATATTAAGTGTTTATAATAATAATTGACTATTTTATATAGCGCCTTTAAAGGTGGCTTCTCAAAGTGCTTTACAGGATGACAACAACAATAAATAAAAATAATAAGATAAAACACAATTACAATATACAACAGAAGAGACCGTGGATGGTGGTACTAAGAAAAGCAGAGGGGTGAAGAATGGAACCAGTTAAGTAAAGGCTCTCCTAAAGAAGAAGGTTTTGAGTCTGGATTTGAAGGAGTTTAAAGAAGGTGACTCTCTGGTCTCCTTGGGGAGGGAGTTCCAGAGCTTGGGGGCATAACAGGAGAAGGGCCTGTCACCCATACAATGTAGACAGGCCTGGGGAACAGTTAGGAGACCAGAATTAGAAGAGCAAAGGTTGCGAAGTGGGCAGTAAGGCAATAATAGTTCAGAAAGGTACTGAGGTGCAAAGCCATGCAGAGTCTTATAGGTGAGCATAAGGATTTTAAAGTCCACACGGAATTTGACAGGAAGCCAGTGGAAGGATTCCAGGATAGAAGTAATGTGAACACTTGCATTGGACCTGGTCAGGATTCTGGCTGCTGAACTTTGGACATACTGCAGTTTGTTCAATGTAAATTTAGATGCCCCAGCGAGTAGCACAGTACAATTCGGGAAAATACAAATGTGTTGAACAGCTTTTTGGCCACACTTAGTGATAATATAGGGCGTAGTCTAGCGATATTTCTGAGTTTATACAGTTTAAAGCACAGATCATCACGAAAAACCTGGTTTCAAGGAGGTGTACTCAAACTTTTGAGTACTGTAGACAAAACAGATATTTACAGCAGGGAAAACTCTCACGGAGTAGCAGCCTCAGTTGTTACATGCCAGTAAAAAGAATGGTAAGAGCAAGACTGGACAAAACGGGAACAACCAGGTTCAGGACAGTTCCACTGTATGAGTTGAGGTTAAAGATGTTAATACAGACAAGACAAATACAGTAGGTCCAGATGCCTCAGAAAAGATCCACACTTGGTCAAGACAGGAGTTGTGTGTGCAGTATACAATACAATTATTCTTAGTTCCTAGTACTTAGAAAAGCATGCCCAGAAGCGCAGTAACATACAGTATGCTAACAGTAAGAAACGAACAGAAGTTACAAATGAAGAAATTGCTGTTGTTAATAGTCAGGGGGAATTACGCAAGTGATTGAACATAAGAAAGCTTAGTAGTTTTCTTCACAATATTGAAGTTAATTTTTAAAAGATGATAATGATGACAATTAGATTTTGACAAATTGGTTTTTTTCTCTGTGCAAGGCATCCTCTTGAATTCAGACAGTATGCATGTCAAAATATTATTGTAGTACATTCCTAAATTTCTGATGTTAATGGTGATCATTTTTTGTAAACAAACATAATCTGTAGAGCATACATTTATATTTTAATTGCACTAGGTATACATTACTTAGGAAATTATTAACTAAATCACAAGTTCATCAATCACGTATCTATATTTAATGCAAG